ATTCTTGTAAATTTTCCAATTACGGGATATTATATGAAGGATATGCCGACAAAATCATAGACAGTATAAATCAACAAGCTCAAGTAGTTTATTCACTGACCACACAGAATACCCTGTTCGCTTTAACCAGCAAAGGAAAATATATAACTTGTGGGTATACGCTTACGCGTACGGAACATCCAAAATTAATTATTTTCGAGACTACACCCGGCATTGCCATTTTTAAGAAATCAACTCGTGCTACAAACTTCGACATTTTTACATATATGAATTCTAAATTCGTATATGTCGAGAAACATATCCGCACACAAATAAATCAATTATACCGGGATATTTTGCTACAACAATGTAATCTTGAGCAACAATTGCTGCAAAACACACTGGCTATAGCTACTCAATCACCTGATATTTTTGCATACCATTTAATGAAAGGTCCCGGCTACATGGCATTATTGGCGGGAGAAGTGATTCACATAGTAAAATGTGTACCGGTCGAAGTAAGACTAGCTCGAACGGACGAATGCTACGATCAATTACCAGTGTTGCGCGGAAATCAAACATATTTTTTAACACCTCAGACTCATATTTTGTTGCGTCAAGGAATACAAACTGCATGTAACGCATTCGCTCCTGCCATGTATCTCTTAGGAGATTCTTGGTATAAACTCACGCCTAGACCGATTGACACTATGCCACCAACAATTATGAAACCTTTAACTAAACCTACTTGGAAATATACAAGCCCAGGAGCACTCGCCACAAGCGGAATATATACCGAAAATGACCTTGAAGACCTGAGAGATCACATAATGTTTCCAGCTGAACGACCCGCGGTGCTTAATAGTATAGCGAGAGGAGTAATGGGAAGATCATCGTCCATACAAGGCGGCTCCATTTCTAATTTGTTAGACAAAAGCGTTGTGGAAAAAATCGCAATCTCTACATGGCAGAAATTCTGGAATAAGTTCTTAATTTTTGGAAATATTAGCGCTGGAATAATGGGGATCTATCTGGGTGTAAGAATTTTTAAACTGGTATTGAACACAATAGTGCATGGCTACGCTTTACATACGGTGTATGGATGGTCCATATATTTAATAGGAGCCATATGGGATTCTCTCACACAGCTGTTATTGCACTTAAAGCGGGCGCCTTCTGCTAAAGAACCCACAACTCCGAGCCCTGACCCTCAGAAAAATGAATCTGAGCAGGTCATTTATACTGAAGTTAAGAAAGAGCATGACTACGTCTATCCTTCTCTTCCTTTCCTGCTCCGTTTCCCTTTTCCAACTAATGTCAACATAAAACCATGAATTAAAATAGAATTCCGCTCTTTTTAGAAAATAATAACATGGAGATTAAGGCTATCAGTACAAGCCACTTGACTCGCTCACGCTTGGAGGTAATAATTATACGAGTGTTATCACCTTTGCTGTTCTGTTTACAGCTCAAGAATAGCGAGAAGGACTTGGAAGAACTGCAAGAGGATCTCGATTTTCACATGTCGCGAAAAGCTAAATACTTGCACTACTGGCCACAAGACATAAAGGAAGATGAAGACGTCGTGATAAAAGAAAACAACTGCTGGCGGAGAGGATGGATCGAGAAATTTAATAAGGCCACAAATATGGTAAAAATATGTTTAGGGGATTTTGGACGTACAACCTGGCGCCCCGTACACGACATATATTACCTAGACGATCGCTTCCGCAAATTGCCTTGGCAGGCCATTGCTTGCGGCCTAGCCCACACGGGATCAGTTGGGCACCTCAACATCTGGCCGGATAAAACAAAAGATCTTTGTAGAATCCTCGCTGAAAACCGTAAAGGATGGATTAACATTGTCTATTCCCTTCGCAGAGGCGCCGCCTTCGTCAAACTAACGGTGCAAAGCGAAAATTTTGAAGGGACCTACAACCTACGGGAAATGTTATTGGTGCTTTTTGAACGTGAGTTCCCTTGCCTCTCACGAATCGGGGTGCTTTTTGATTTACACTTTAAATTTAGTGCAGTAATGTGGAGAGTTAGCGTTTGTTACGGCAAAGAAGCATGCACATTTAATTATTGCAATATCATTGCAGAGTTCACATGTGCCATTGCAGTTTTTCAAACAGAAATCTGCAGGGGCTTCGCATTTGTCGGGTTTTTCTGCAATATACCCACACTTCCACCAAGCGTATTGAAATATATTCTTAAATCTGGGCGAGGAAAACTGGTTATGTATTAAAGACTGTATTTTGAGGATGTTATTCCTTAAATGTAAATTTACATCAATTATACAGCATGACAATATCAGACAATTGTCTTAAAAAATTCTTCCAAGGTCTAAAAGTGTAAACGTCCAGCGGTTGAATTAAACCAGTGGTTCCAGCGGGAATCGTAAAAATTTGGACGTTTTTATTGTCTTTATCAATATTGTCAAACTTTTTTCAGTCTGGCCAGTCCAAGAATCTAACAAAAGAACAGAGTTTTCCCCGGTGTTTGGTAAAAAAACGTTTGCGAACCAATTAATGGCAAGGTCGGATGTTAATTTGCCTGATTTTGATGCAAATACGACAATATTGTCTGCTTTGTACAAAGTTTTCTCAACGATTGGTCCAAATTTACCACTAGTCTTTTGCAGGACTATTAATAAAGGGGACTTTAAATCTCCGTTGGCAGAAACGATTGGCTGAATAGTGTAGCTGTGCGTCAAAGAATTCAAAGATTGCGCTAAACACTCGACTTTCAATTATCCTTTTAAAGCAAGCGTGCAACCTGCATGCGTTTCTAAATTGAACCCCGATTGATCGGAATTATAGACATTGTCTTCACCTACCAACATGATCTCTGATTTTATTTTAGAAACAAATTCGCTTGATGCTTGTAATAATTTTTCCTTTGACGATATTTGTTTTTTAGTCACAAATTTGTTTATTATATAACGAACAGTAAAAAAAGAAATGATATAATTGCTAAAAAATTACCTTTTTTTAAAAAAAGTGAAAAGAAGGCGCCACACAAGTTTTTCTCTAATTGAAAAGTTATTTTATACTTAAATTTGTCTTCTGAATTAAAAATTTTTTTCACTTAAATATATTCCACTATTTTGATCACATTGCAATTTTTAATATTAGAAATAATAATAAATGAATTTTGTAAAATAAATTTTGATTAATTGGCGCAATATTTTTATATCACTATTTTTGTAGAATATTAAAACAACTATTTTGTAAAACAGATTTTTAGTTTGGATATGACAGTGTCTTTGTATTAAAATAACACTATTTTGTATAAGAGTATTTTTATAGCGAAAGGCGCTTGTGCGCGTACACTTGGCGCCTTTTTTTCATCAAGTTTACGAGATGAAAAAATTTTTTTTATTGCAGAGATAAAAAAGTAGCATCTCAAATGGTCGACCGCTGTTTGTGTACAAGCATATTTACAAGGTCGCGGAATCATCGGGACGGCCCAGAAAAATTCATTGTTTTTTTATATCGTTGCCGGCGGGTAGCGATATCATGAATCTCGACTTGAATCCAAAATTACTTCCATATGGCGTGAGCCACGGAATCGGGCCGAAATGTGCAAGTAAATCCCAGCACTGATATAAATGAATAAACGTGCATTGTATTATCAGCGAGTACCAAATAATTTGCCGCGAAATCTTGATAAAATTCTCAAAAAATATGTTAAAATATTAAAATATGTGAACAAACAAGACAAAATCCCCCTCGCAACGCGACCGAGAAGAATGGACTCACTCAGTTCCATCGCTGAGCTGCATAGAGGAGGGGAGGGAAATAAGAGGAGGAAATTTGTGAGAGACCCTGAGAACCGGCTATTGTCCTCGAGCCTTCGCCCACTGGACCTATACTGGACAAAGATAAAATCGCAAGAAAGTCTGAGGAATGACTGCGCCATCAACCGTGCAACAGGGATAAAGCCATCGTCTTTGTCGTATCAGCATTCAGTCCGTTCTAACAGTTCTCACGATATGGAACGATAGGACAAAAATCTCCTCTAAGTGATACTTAACTCTTCC